AATGGTTAGTCTTGCCAGAGGACCAAACACTATGACCGCTGATGTACCAGTGGTCATACATTTCAGATTAAATGAAATATCAGGGAAGATCATTCTCAGGGTGCCTATGGAACACAAATGTTACACAAATGTTACTAGTAACTATGTTAAAACAGGGAATGTTGATACAGGTATCTGATACTTGACTGGTGATGTCACAACACTATATTTCAAACACAATTTTGGTAATCACTACGCCAAATAAAAATATACTTTTACAACAGATTATTATTTTTGAATAAAAAATAATAATACTTATGATGGGGTCTTAACCCATGGTGGGTTTGATCCCACCATGACCCAGGTCAACGGCTCCCACTGTTGTCTGTCTCTCGTTGTGTCCCTGGGCAAGACACTTTGCAACCCCACATTGCCTGAAGCCCCCGCTGAAAGACCAAGGCCATCTTCCTGTGGACCCACCACCTGCAGGAGGATCAGCGAGGGACTGGTGCTCTGAGACTTGGGTGGCAGCACTGATTGCCACCCCCTTGACCCAGAAATGGATTAATAAAAGGGTTGAAAATGACATGACATGACATGACTTCTGATACAGTATAAAATGTATCAAGAAATGCTCAAGAAATTTCAAACTTTTTCTTGTTTTTGTCATTTCTTTTTGTATCAATTAGTATAATTTTGATACTAGCTCTTGTACTCGATACACAATACTTTGGATACTTTTAGCAACCCTACTTTTGACTAAAACTGAAATGTCTCAGAAATTCTGAAGGAAAAACCAAGGATGAACAAAGGAAGAGCATTTCACAAATCTTTATAAAATGCCAGATGTAGTCCTAAGCAGTGTGCTTCGTCTTGGCTGCTCCCCCACAGCCATCACTCATCCTGCCCCACAATCCTCCGCTACGTGTTGTGTGGCGCACATTAAAACACTGTAATCGCTGATGGCTTCCACAGTTAGCATGTGTTGCTGATATCTCTAAACTCTGAATGAGCGTTTCATCGCCTATTCCATAATTAGACCATTACTTTAGCAGGTGCACCTTTTCCCTGCCTCAGCATGGTATGTGCATGGTAAGTGTTTTTCTTTTTTTCACACATGATTTTGAGTCTCATCAAATTCAACATTGGTACAAATATACACAAAATGAGCATGCATGTGCCACTGGGCTGTCAACACTCAGAATGTAGAAGCATGTGTTGGCACGATCTGGATGTGAGAAATATGCTGTTAGTCCCCAATAGAAATGATTTCAAAGAAACTAAAACTTGAACACTCAAGCAAAAAAGTTTGCTGAAAGGTCATCAATCACATGATTGAAGATCAACATTTCAATGTTGACATTTCTGCCAAAAAAAAAAGAAAAAGTCTCTGACAACATATTTGATGCTATGAATGTCAAAACTAAATACTTAAATGATAGATCTCTTACAAAATAATATATACCTTAAACTTTGAGGTCTTGTGTTTGGATAAATTATTGGAGAATTATTTGCATGTTTTCTCTGTGTCTGTGGAGGTTTCCTCTGGGTGCTCCGGTTTTTCCAACCACTAAATACATAGTACAATAGGGGACTATGCTACCCTCACCAACCGCACTCCTATCCCCTCACTCTGGTCTGGACTCCCCTGAAAAGGAGGGTCCTGGCCAGAGACAGGGAAGACAGACTTTCCTTGTGCAATAAAGTGCAATAAAATCAGATGTATTGGATGAAAGTTGAGTGTGACAAAAAATGTAGCATGTAATGGCCTTTTTGTCTCAAGTTGGTACATTAATCCCTCTATCTTGTGGCTCACCTGTTCTTGAGGATGTGGGTGTGCTGCAAAAGTAATAAAAGTAGTAATAATAATAGTGCTGTGTCTTGTAGTCTTTCCAGCTAAATAACCAAAAGGTAGGACAGGGTAAGGTTAGCTCTCCGTGCACGCTGAATGCTCTCTCTTCTTCTCTCTTGCTGACAAATGTGGGAAACTAAACAGGAGTAGAAAACAGGGGTGTACCATTAATAATACAAAAAACAATAATAATACAAAAACAATAATAATACAAAAGCAATATAAATAATATGAAGATCATCTGAATTAAATGTCATAATATGTAATAATAAAAATCAAAGGTCACAGTACTACTTTATATCAATTATGTGCGGAGGAAAAAAAGACGGATTCTACAAACCGGTAATTAACCCCGCGAACAAATCAATACGCGCACATGTTGTTTCAGCTGGAGGAAGGACAAAACCGCTGCTTTGTCTATAATCTACATAAATCATTATGCTAAAAGTTATGTCGATGTCTGACCACCACTTTCTGTCTACAGTGTTAACTATAAGGGCCAGATCGCTGCTGCTGAAGAGGTGAGCAAATGTACCTCTGAACGTATAGACTTATCGCGCCTCAGTATTTCATTTATTATTTGTTACACAGGAGGATTTTGCCTTTGTAAGCAGCAGAAGCCCTTACCGCAGTGAAAGGGACGACAACACGTTTTCAGCACCGCGGCTGTCCAGTGTGAGGGCCCTAGATCCACGATGGGCCCCTGGAGAAATGATTGACCAGAACCCGGAAGTAGCCTCTCTGTCAAAGTCCATGGCAGTAGTCCACAGGCGGAACAAGCACACGGGTAAAGCACATTTCTATATTTACTAATGTTGTTATAGAGCAGTATTGTACCTGCACTGTGATGAATCATAGTGTTGTTGTTTCAGCAGTGTTGGCTGTATTTGTAGCCTATGTTTTGTTTATAACAGAGCCTATGGAAAGGGCAAATCGTGTGTGAATCTTAATCATAAATCTGGACTACCTAACTTTTTTGGTTGATAAATACATTTTATTTTGTTCCCAAGAGTATTATTTGGGTAAATTCGTATGACTAAATCAGGCCATAAAATGCTGCTGTTTATGTTGTTAGAATTGTTTTTAAGTTCAACATACTGAGAGGTAAAAAAAAAGCCGGTTCTAAAGATATATTTTATATTTTTTACAGTTTATGGACAAAATACAGTATGTGCATGTGACAACTACTGATACAACGATTTCTTTGATTTTTTTTGTAGTTTTAATGCTAGGCTCTCGGCTATAATGAAAGTCATGGAATACCAGAAAGACCCCTCTTTTCTTGATTTGCTATCCTAATTCATTAGAGTGAGTACAGTTTCTAACATTTGTTAAAGGGACAGCTGTTGGTGGAGTAAATCCTTTAATTTGATCAGCTTAATTGCAAAAGATTTCGTAAACATCAAGATTAAATGCTCCAAGTTTGTCAGTTTGTCCAAGAATGCTTTACGCCTAATCTAATAATAGTGAGTAGGGAAGCTCTGCAAAGCCACTTACCCCGTAAAAGCTCTGCCTGGTCATTATGCAAAAACTTCCCTTGGACAGAAATGGATAGGAATTGATTGGAACTTCCTTGAAAATATGTTGCTCTCTGTCTAATTTGTGATTTTGTAAAGTCATTGTGCGGTCTCCTAATGCTCTTTAGTGGGTGCTCTCACTTGTCTTTAGACCAGAACCATTCTTTTTCTTATTAATCCCCAGAGACAATATTGTTGTTTTTGCTATTTGGTTTTGATACTTTTTATGAGTCAATGAACTTGTATGACACAATATCCTCAAATGCATATATATATACAGTATCTACGTATATATATATAGATACTGTAGTATATGCCGAACCTACCAGACATAGTGGTGGTGGACAAAGGGCAGAGAAAAGCTGTTGTGGTGGATTTGGCAATTCAAGCTCAAGGCTTTTTCACAGGAAAAAGTGACTCCCAACCTGGGGGAGTGGATCCCTTTAACAACCTCGGAAATCCTTATCCAGAAAAGCACAGTGCTCGGAGCAGTAAAGATACTTCGCAGAACCCTCAAGCTTCCTGGCCTCTGGTTTACAACCCGAGCTTAGACTATGGCCCTGTCCACACGAAGTCAAGCTCAGGCCTAAACGCAAAAATACTTTATCAATCCAGTGTATCGTCCATACGAGGCCGGCGTTTTGGGGGGGTGTAAACGAACATTTTTGAAAGTAGGTCCCAGAGTGGAAAGATTTCAAAACTCCGTATATGCCGCTCCGTGGTTACTGCCTTTCCGCAATGTATCTGAGACGCTTGCGTCATCGCCCCGCATGCGCCGCACTCAGAAAATAATGACAAGAACAATGGCTTGTTGGTTTTGTAATCCAGTGTGACCCGAAGCAACAGTTCAACCTCATCGTCCGTCCATACTAATGTAGTACCAGCTCGCCCACTCGCCATGTTGTGTGTTTACAAAATTCTGCGCATGCCCAGTTCCCGTCACGGAAGTTTGGGCTTGATCCCGTCATTGCGTCACAGCGCCACCAACAGGTCTGGCATAGTTTCACAGCGTTTTCAGGCGTATTGACTACATTCATATGGACGCACACATTTACTGAGCTAACTCTGTGTTTACAGAAAAAGTTTCTGAAATTATAAGCGTTTTGTCTTCGTGTGGATATAGTCTATATGTATAAATATTGTATTAATGAAATCTATAAAAAACATGCACCATAGTTATAATCCTGAAACTAAACTAGTCCTGACCAAGTTTCAGCTTTGGAAGGATGGGTCAAGTACAGACAACCTGGGTGGCACGGTGGCTGAGCACTTTTGCTTCTCAGCAATAAGGTCCTGGGTTCGAATCCCGATCAGAACAAGACCTTTCTGACTGGAGTTTCCATGTTCTCCCTGTGCCTGCATAGGTTTCCTCTGGGTGCTCCAATTTCCCCTACCACTAAAAACATGTATAATATGTCTGTAAAGCACCTCCAACATGGCGACCTCACTCCCATCTCTGTGTGGAGTGAGAGACAAATGCAAAAAAAAAAACAACAATTCTAAAGCGCTTTGTGACTCTGGTCTGTGAAAGGCGCTATATAAATAAAGATTACTGACTTACTTAACGTGTTTTTATACGGGGACTCTAAGGTGTATCTCAACCATAATATAATGTACTTTTATTCAGCTAGAAGAGAAGAGAGATCATCGGCATGACTGAAGTGAAGAGCCAGCTTCCACTGGAGCCCATCTCAACAATTGGGATAGTTGCATCTCCCAACAGAGCCCCTGACGGATACTCCGTTGTGAGTATGACATTCATTGACTGTGGATTGCAGTTCTGTAGAGATTCAGAAAAACACATCAAATTATACAACAAAGTAGACATTATAGTACATTAATGATTATATTTATCTGAGTGTTCTCTGAATGTATCTGTTCTCTGAGTGGATAAAGTCACTTTTACAAGAACATGTATACATTAATGTTTTTTTATTGAACTTAAATTGAATTAAAAAGTTTTGTTTCTTCCAGTGTTGCATTTACACTGTTATATGGGGTAGACCTCTACCTTTTAGGTACAGGTCTTTTTTCCTCACCACACTTTATCGTTCTTCTGTTTTACCACCCTGAAACAGTTATCTTTTCCTTCTTTGCCCAATGTGCCCAGCCTGTTCTAATCTCTGGCACAGGACGCTGGGTTGGATTCCAAACAGCCACTGGCAGGAGGATGGTGTACACACAGCAGTGACAGAGAGAAACGCCACCAGACTTCCTTCTGTGCTGCTCCGCTGCTGTGCTACATTGTAGTTGATGTGCATATAGTCTGCTGCCTCTGCACCTGGGTTTTCAGATCATTCTTCTTTCCAGTTTCCAGCCACAGTATACCGATGATATAGACATGTTGTAGCTGTCCTTTTTCTGTGTGTGTGTTTCTATCACACAAATAATGTAGTCCAAGATTTTTTTGAGCTTGGTTGATTTCAATTGCTGTTCCAATTTTTTTTTTATTGTATATAGATATTGTGTTGGTAAATACCCGGTATCTTAGTAATTTTCATTGAAAATCAAGAGCTCACAGCAGCCTCAGTCAATAAACAGACTCAAATGGATTTCTGGAATATTTTTAAATCACTATGTGGTCTTTCATGTGCATATTTCACATAAAAACAAAATATCAACATTTGATCAGTGTACATAGAGGAAATTTCCAGTTATGCTGCTTAGACTTGCTAAGGTCTTTTAAGCCCTCATTCAGACTTCCTGCTGAATACTGACTGCTTACTTTCTCTGGCAGATCAAAGAGTTGATTAACTCTTTTGCTGTGCGATATGGCGCATTCACATTTGAACTTGAGTAGGTTGTTCCAGCAGAGCATGGGCCTGGATCAAACACGCTTCCTTTGGGATCAGGACAGAGCAGCACCCTACATCAAAACACTGCACTCACGCCCACTCACCCACAGAGCAGGGAGACGCTGTCTACACATTCATCTAAGTATGTGACACGTCACATTCAGAGCCTCATTATATGGGCTTATGCTGAGGACTGATTGTAATGTTGTTCCTTAAAGAAGTCTAATTTAAGTTGATTTGGGTGGATGCATGCATGCTTGTGTGTGTATAGATGTGCATAACTAATTTCAAGTATTGTCAAAAGTTCAGTAAGATTTTTGCTTATTTTACCCTTTTATTGAAGCTCTATGTGACAGGTTAGAGCAGGCTTCCCTGGAGACAGATCATTATGCTTTAATATCCCTTTATTTACAGCTCTGCCTGTGGTGTGTGTCTCTTGAGAGGCTTCAGAAGGCTTCCACATCTCTCGAGGACTGATGTCATCAGCCATCTTTCAGATCAACACTAAAGCATCATTTTAGGAAGTGGCAGTTTAAGCTGTCACTGTGTTTTAAATCATATTGTTGAAACATTTCAATGACACTGCAGTGACACGATGTTTGGTGTTATATGAGCTATTACTTTAAGGTAAAGGTTTTTGTTACTGAGTTGTAGCATTAGGCAGTGGGATTGTGCTCAGTATCGGCGTTTCACATTCAGCCTGCGTCACCCTGAGCTGCCGCTGGCTGTGGCAGGATGATGCCTGAGGTGCCTCGCAGGAGGACGCTGCCCTCGTTGCTACTCAACTTGACTTTGGGTTTCACAAAGCAAGCCTTTTGTTTACGCTGACAGGATGCGCGGGCTACTGACCTGGAAAAAGTGGCCAAGACGGCTTGTCTTGTAGGAGGAAGGAGGCTGGTGATATATGGGCTCCTTCTGGGACCTTTCATGGAAGTGCTGTTGAGACGGCCTGTAATCCCTCTGTGCTCATACCTCCTCTCTTGTCCCACTATCTATCTCCGTTCACCACTCCCTGCTCTCGTCCCAGAGTCACCGCTGCTTTTGCATGAATCTCCCCATGCCTTGTTCTCCCAGCAGTCACCAGGTCATTCATCATTATTGTCAAGGGGCCTATGTGTGGGTGGCTGCAGAGATCTATGACTTCTTCATTTGAATGAACCTCATTAGATTGACTCTTCTTTGTAAAGGATCCTTTCAGAAAATAAGTCTGGCAGTTATTTAGGTGATTCTCACGTGGTAACCAATGGGACATGACGTTTCAGCCAGGCATATTGACTCGCATGAGGGAAGAGTCTCCCTGATATAGTCTGCATGCAATGCTTTGCTCTATCATTCTCCACAAACCCGCATTTACATAGCAATGGAGTGTAAGGCCTTGAGCTTGATTTGTTGCTCTAATTACTGTCAATATAGTGTAATCCATTACTATGTGAACACCAAGAATCTTAAACATTTTATAACTTTTGGTTGTAACCCATTTTTTTTCTTTTTTTGAATTGAACTTTTACATTTTTGTCTTGCACATTCAGTATATTCAGATTGAATCTTCCAGGGGACAGAACATTGGAGTCTTTTTTTTCTTTCTTTAAGGATTCTATTGCTGCACTTTTCTGAATACAATTCCTGCTTTCTCACAACACATGTTTGGTCTCCTTATTAGAGAAGAGCCTTGTCAAGGCATCTTTAATCAGCTTGGTCTTTAGGGATGATATTTTTAGCCACCTTTTCGGAGGCTAAGACTCCTTTACCCACGCAGAGCACTAATGAGATGGAGCGCTACTGTAGGCAAGCGTTAATTAAGGCTGGTATGCAAGGGAAGAGGCAAAAGCAACACGCTCATGGCATACATACATTAACTTTATCCCACCTCTTGCCTGTTTTTTACTCCTTGTTTTTTTCATGTAGGTTGCACAAACAACAGATGGCTCTGACGCCGACCTGTGGAAGGACGGTTTATTCAAATCCAAGGTCACTCGCTACCTCTGCTTCACCAGAAATCCTGTAAGTGTGAATGAAAACTTCTGCCTTTGCACACAGCAGCTCGCTCTCTTTGTTTGTCACGGGTTATTAGCCGAGTTTTCCATTGCCACAGTATCCTTGTGGACTTTGCACTTTGATCAGAGAGTCCCATTTAAAAAGCCAGCGTTGCCGGTTTTTAACTTTCAGATATAATAGATTCACATGCATATTTTAGATGCATAATATTCCATGGCGAGGTATTTTTCATAGTGTGGTCCTCTTGAGATTATTATTTATGTTTATTCATGAAATATCAATGAGTGGTATTTTAACTATTCAAATTTTTCAATCAACTGCATCCCTACAGAGAAATGTCCCGACCTGTGTGTGGTTGTGTGTGTGTGTGCTTCAGGGTACATGTGCATGTCTGCGTGTGTGTGTGAATAAGTACAGTATAATAAACCAATGCCTAGTCCATAAGCGATCTAGTCAGAGTAAGCTTTCTGTTGTTGTGTCCTTTGACAAGACACTTCACCCACATTGCTTGGTATGAGTTTTGTCAATCGTCAAACAACAGGGGAGAGCCGAGTTGGTGTGGAATAAGACATGGTTTAATGATGTCCCACGGATGCTCACAATAATTGATTAGCAAACAGACACTTATTCTGTTATATACTAATTTTATAATTTTAAGCTATAAAGTATATACATAATATATGTTAAACTAATGTATCTAAATTACAATGTTTCTCACTAACTAATAATTAATAATAATGTGTGAAGAAACAAAAATGTGTACGAGTAGTATGGAGCATTCAAATCTCCTTCTCAGCCTCCTGTATATGGTTTTACATGCATGTCCACAATGTTTTAAAGATTTTGACACAAATAAAACATGACAGAGCCATCAACAAAGGCTATTTTGTCTGCCAGTCATAGGAGCACCTACTGTAATTGTCCATGACAAAAACAGATTCTATAAAATTAGCCCCTGAATTATGTGAGAGGAAGTAAATAGTTTGTGATTTATCATACTCTAGGTTAGTGTAAGATAGCCTTTTTTGTCAGTTTGTGATGGGAAAATTCTCACTCGCAAAAGAGCAAAAGAGGTCCCATGCATAGTAATAACATTCATCCATATTCCTCCTTAAGTCGGTATAAAAACTATGAATAAAAAATGGTTCTAATGGTAATGACTGTTGGGCAGCAGTCGCTGTGGAATCTAACCTCTCGAATGCATCAAGTCACGCCTGGCTCGTCCCACTCCGTGCATTATTACAATTTATTATGGCCAAAAATGAAAATATAATGGGACCCAGGGAAGAGTCATGCTTGAAAATGTCAACTACACTAGGGCTGATTGTTTTTAACCAGTCCCATTCTGTTGATCAGAGCACTATCAGCAGCCAGCTCCTCTCCAAAAGGTTGAGAATGATTACAATTCTTTTTGCAGAGAAAAGCTATTAGGGAGTAATTACTTCTGCTATTTTGTCAGCTCTACTTTTTAGTGATTTTCTGTGCTTTTGGTAAATCATCTACTCTATCTCGTCACAATGAGAAAAATTGCAAATTCTTTTTTCATTATTATTTAATCATGTACTTTTCTTTTTTATATGGGAGAGTGGTGGGGGTTTGGCTGGCTGGTGTCGCCTTTTTTGGGTTGTAAGAAGAAAAAAAGTTAATTTCAATACAATACAAATCACAATACACACTCGCAATACTCAAAACACAATTTTAGTAGTCACTATTATAGCACAAGCTGCAATTAGTCAAATCTTTGAAAACAATTGTATAGTATTATTTAATCTAAAAGCTTCTCCCTGTTAAGAGCAACAAACATGTTCTGAGATAAAAGTTTATTTAAAAAATAAAATAAAATGTATGAAGTAAAAAAATTAAAAATAGAAATAAAAATTGGTGAATATGATTTGAGAATATTATCAAAATTGAGAATGACATTATAGAATTGTGACAACATTACTTCTACAACAATGATTTACATTTTGTAAATCTACTCACAATTGCCAATCCAAATTCTAGATATCATATTTTGTCATAATAGTTTAGCCTGACTCTGGGATTAACATTACATTGAATGTATGGGTGTTTTGTGTGTATTTTATCACGGTATTCATTCATTCAACTTCTTTAATTAGTGGTGCTACCTGAATGTGAATGCCAGATCCTGTCAGATCTCTGAAGCTAAGCAGGGCGGGGCCTGGTCAGTACTGTAATAGATAGATAGACACTTTATTGATCCCCCGAAGGAGAAATTCAGGTGTCCAGTAGTAGCAAAAATAAAAAGACAATTGATCATTCTAAAAAAAAAGATAACAATAGTAATAATAATCAGCCACAGCCCTTCAGGTCACAGCAGCAGAGATTGAGTAGCCTCTGGGTGGAGCAGGACGGGTCACAGCAGCAGAGGTTGAGTAGCCTCTGGGTGGAGCAGGACGGGTCACAGCAGCAGAGATTGAGTAGCCTCTGGGTGGAGCAGGACGGGTCACAGCAGCAGAGATTGAGTAGCCTCTGGGTGGAGCAGGACGGGTCACAGCAGCAGAGGTTGAGTAGCCTCTCGGTGGAGCAAGATGGGTCAGAGCAGCAGAGATGGAGCAGCCACTGGGTGGATCAGGACGGGTCGCAACATCACAGATTGAGTAGCCTCTGGGTGGAGCAGGACTGGTTAAAGCAGCATAGATGGAGTAGCCTCTGGGTGGAGCAGGATGGGTCACAGCAGCAGAGGTGGAGTAGCCTCTGGGTGGAGCAGGACAGGTCAAAAGATGGAGTAGCCGCTTGGTTTGGACCATTTTCTCTGCTCTAGTCCAAAGTAAAATGCTAAATGCTTCATTAGCATTTTTTAAAAAGTCAGCATTCCTCCAGTGGATTTTCACTTGATCCGCATGGTTTGGACCATGAATCCTCTCTGCTCTGGTCTGGACCAGTGCAAAACTTTGCACACTGTTCTGAAGAAACATCTCAGGCAGAAAAAAGTAAAAAAGCGTGAAAGGTTGGGGGTAGTTGGAGGGGCCGATGGCACATACTGGTTGCCACGCTTCTGTCAGTTTGCCTCAGGGCAGCCGTTGCTACAGGAGTATTACATCACCACCTGTAAGGAGTGAATGAATAATGACATATGAAGCATCTTTGAGTGTCCAAAAACCCGCTATATAAAACCAATGCCTTATTATTCATTATTAATAAAAAGTTGTGTCTATGACAATGATTTTTTTGCATACTCCTTTTACAATCATGTCCTGTGTTGAAGGGGCTTGACGTGGTTGTGGAAATCAAGCTGACTGACATTAAGGACGCCTTGCCGGAGGGTTTCACGCCTTTACAAGAAACATTGGACAGTAGTAAGTAAACAGCCCCCTCCATGTGCATCCAGCTCGAGCTGAGCTTATGCGGAGGTCCTGGGGGGCAGCTTTGCTTGAGATAGTGAATGTTTTATGGGTGCAGGTTAGCTTAATTTATGGCAGTATGTGGGAATAAAATAAACATTTTGCCCCGGAGGTACAAGAGAAGAGAATCATGAGTCATTGTTTATCTCGGCTGGAGCCCTGCATTTCTTTATGTGCGGCTTATTTATTTATGTATTTATTTGGGGAGAGGACGAGTGGATGGGGGTTATCTAATATTAATGAAATGCGTTCCCCAATGCTTTAGTGCTTTTTGAGTGCTATGTATCCCGTCCCTCGCACTATCCACCATGCCTCGCAAATGTAATAATATTTGGGTATGGGGAGTAAGGACAGCTTGTTTATTATTTTTATTATCATTGCATTTACGCTGCACTTTGGAGTGTTGCCGGGGAAATAAATGAGGGAGGAGCACATGCAATATAGAGCATGGCTATGGTATTTTTGCCCGAACGGACAAAATAGATTATATTTTGTTTGGCTTAGGTGTAATTTAATGTTTTATTACTTATGTGAATCCATGTTTAATGTATACATGCAACATTATGTATGAGCTACCCTCCACAATATCTAGTCTGAATCCCTGATGTGCACTAGAGCTGATGGAGGATTCACTTTCCTGTGTCATTTCACCTACTAAAGTGATAAAAATGATAATAATGCGTTTGGATTTTGTGGCTTTCCATTGTCCAGTCCTTTTCCTTGGAGCACACTAAGTCACCCATTGCTTATATTAGCTTATGCATTATTCTGTGGATGCAGGGTAATGGCATAACCGCAAAGTCAACAAATGTTTAGTACTTACATATATACAGCCAGAAAAAAAATATTTTAGATGGATTTTAACAATGAAGAATAGTGTAATGGTAATTTTAACACTTAGGGTGATAAATAGGTGTGCTTGAGTTGGAGTGGGTCTTATTTACAAACAATATATTGTTTTATTCTTAGTACTACTTATTTCACTAATCGGACTATATCAAATGTGACAAATGTATCTGACATAAGTGATAAGAAATAACGTACAAGATTTCACAACAATTCACACTGTCTGTATTTCTCTTGCACCGAAGACGCCATTGCTCCTCCCTGGCTCCTCTGACTATTGCTCTTGTGCTTTTCTAAACTTATTTTGTTTAAAAAAAAAATATTTTCTGAATCTTTGATATTTAAATGATTCAACAGCGTTGCATGGGCATATTTGTCCATCCATCCATCCATTTTCCTCCCCTTTGTCCATTTCTGGGCCGGGGAGGTGACAGTCAGCGGCCACCCAATTCGCAGAGCACCAGTCTCTCACTGATCCTCTTGCAAGTGTTGAGTTCACAGGAGGATGGCTGCTCTGTCAGTGAGCGCATAGCCTTGGTCTTTCAGCAGGGGCTTCAGGCAAAGTGGGGTTAAGTGTCTTGCCCAAGGACACAACAACAGCATGAGTGGGAGTTGGTGGAGAAGGTCTGGTGGGTGCCAACCAGTAGGGGTAGGTCCCGGCTCAATAACGTCCATTATCACGTGCGCTGACATGCTTGCAATACCACTCTGGGATGATGGGGGTGGACCCATAATAACAATTAGCCAATGCCAGTGTATGGCGTCTTCTTTCTTCTCAAAAACGTCTTTACAGGATGGTCCTCTCATTTGTGTCAATGCTTAGGGGAGTATATTGTTTTGGAGCAGTCTACTTTAGCTTCTGTGGACTTCAGAAGCACTGACGCATGCGCAAATGCGTTTTTTCTCATTTTCCTGGTCCCACAGTCATTTTGAAACTGTCCATAGAAGTCCAAATGGGCGGCACATTAGTTTCAACGGTGGAAATTGGCTCTTGATTTACCAGTCATTCTTCGATCCCTCCCTCACCTATGGCCATGAGCTTTGGGTAATGACCGAAAGGACAAGATTGTGAATACAAGCGGTCGAAATGAGTTTCTTCCGCAGAGTGGCTGGGCGCTCCCTTAGAGATAGGGTGAGGAGCTCAGTCACACGAGAGGAGCCCGGAGTAGAGCCGCTGTTTCTCCACATCGAGAGGAACCAGTTTAGGTGGCTCGGGAATCTGTTGCAAATGCCTCCTGGACACAAGCACGTCCCACCGGAAGGAGACCCGGGGAAGACCCAGGACATGCTGGAGGGACTATGTCTCTCAGCTGGCCTGGGAACTCCTTGGGATTCCCCTGGATGAGCTGGAGGTGGTGTGTGTGGATAGGGAAGTCTGGGCATCTCTGCTTAGACTGCTGCCCCCGCGACCCGGTGTTGCGAGGAGCAGTTGACTGCTTAAACCAAACCCTAAACAAAACTTTGACTTTTAAAACCCACATATCACTACATGAAACCATCAACATCTTACCTCAAATTGCATTAAAAGTGACATTTGTGTCTTAAGTTCGTATTTTAACTTTTTACACAATTTTACGCATGCGCAGGTTTGAATTACATCATAAACAGCTGAGGCAGTACAACTCGACAAGCAGCGCAACTCGACAGAACACCGGCAACGGATGAAGCGGAAGAAAATGGATGGATGGATAGTATCCCCGAATACATAACATGTGCGTTAGCCAATAACTCTATCGTTTACAGTTGTTTTAGCTAGTTGTGTCTGAACATGAACATTGCACATAGTAAGGAAAACTTCTGTGACACAAAATGTTTTCAGCGAATTGATGTTTGTGACTTGAAATTGCAAGTCAGAGATTTATGTTGTTACATAACAACAAATTGCCAGGTGACTTTTTTGTCATTTAATTTTTAAATTAACATCATAAACACTATAATGTAAGCTATTTTACAACACCGTGAACCTCTCCACAATTGTGCACTAAATACTGTGCCGTGAGATCGATGGCCAAATATCAACCAAATATCAACATGAGTAAAATGTTAAATAAATACTTATATTGACATTTACCATTATATATTGTAACTAGACAATTCCGCTGACATGGCATGAAGTGCGGAAGCGAATATGGGATTGAATAGGGGAGTCTTTAGATCAATATTGAGATTTTAAAAAATGCAACAAATGGTTGCAGTTAATTGTCTGTTACTAAAACTCTGATGCTTTCATTAATGATTAACAAATCCTTTAAAACTGTGTAGATTGAATGATTAGGTGACGAATAAGTCATTTTCTACAGTGAATTTCTGTAGGTGCTTCTAATCTGTAATCTGTCAATAAAATGTTAAATCAAGGTTTATAAGGTCCCTTGCCCTTGCTACAATTTCATAGCTCAGTAAAACTTTTTGGCCAGTACTATATTTCCCCTAAGGATATACTGTACGTAAAATGGCCATAGATATTATGTTAGCTTCACTCTCAGGGAGAAAATAGCTCTCTGTCTGACACACTGTTGCGTCTGACTCCTCAGAGGAAGCTGCCATGAGGAAGAGGAGGCTGTGTGTAAAACTGAGCCCTCGCACCACCACTCCGACAGCTCTGTGTGACATCCAGATCGTGGCCAAGTCAAAGTACCATCTTGTTAACTACACCTGCGTCGGGTGAGCCTATGCTATAAATATACGTTCAATCATTTATTACTTATAGGGACTGCCATGTTCAGCCAAGTGTAATAATGTGATGTAATTCTATGTTTTACATTACACAGGGAGATCAATAACATGTTTGTCTGGTGCCGCTTTGGAGATGTCTGTCCAGAAAAACTTCAAACAGCAAACAAATCTCACAGTTTATCTCAAACAGCCAGGTAAAGTCACACATGCATACTCTCATTTTCTATAATGTAGCTGTAACAAAGGCTGGATTGCTTATATAATGTACTGAAAATAAAAGTAGCATTTTTGAGTGAACAGTAAAAATTATAAAAGTCTGGCACAAGAAACTTCTTTTGTATTTTAGCATACATTAAGATGGTAGATGTTGCATGAGGAAGAGCATAATGCCAACAGGGGTACACTTACATTGTACATGTGGAGTGTTGAACCTGCTTTAGATTTCATTTAAAAATTCATTTTTTGGCTGTGTATAATTATCATCTTCCAAGTACACAGTGTGGCATTTTAGTTGATATGGTATTGAATATAATTACAACCCATATTACGCTTTTCTTCATGTTTCACAGTCAATCCTATTCACATGTGTGATAATAATTTGAGTGATACACCATACAACACTCAACATTTGTGAGATTATATTATACCTCGACTCAAACAGGCTGATTAAGTAAGTAAGTAAGTAAAGTTTATTTGTATAGCGCATTTCACAGACCAGGGTCACAAAGCATTTCACACATTAAAATACATAAAATACACATACAAGTCAGATTTAAAAACAAAAACACAGAAGCACACAGTTTACACAGTTCACAGAGGCCTATGAACAGTGAGGCGTGAAAGCCTGTCTAAACAAATGCATCTTAAGTTGGGACTTAAAGTCATCGACAGAGACTGAGGAAGCCCATTCCAAAGGTAAGGAGCAACTGCCTGGAAGGATCTGTCTCCTAATATTAATATTGTCTCTTAATAATAATAAGATAATGATTCTGTGTGAGACAGGGAGCCAGTGTAAGGACTTCAGGATAGGAGTAATGTGGGCTCTCCTGTGGGTGCTGGTCAAAAGAAGAATTTTGAACGACTTGTGAACGAGCCAGATCTTTTTTACCAAGACATGTAAGCAGGCTGTTACAGTAGTCCAATCGCGAGTATACAAAAGCGTGGACAATCATCTCCAGCTCCTGACCCGAGACCATACGTCTGAGCTTGGAGATGTTGCGCAAGTGGAAGTTAGTTACGGATCAGCTGTTTGGTGTGTCGTTCTAGGGACATCCCTTCATCAAGTGACTCCAAGGTTCCTCAGACTCTTTTTCACTGAGCTACTTAGGTCACCAAGGTGCTGAGTAATGAGAGGCACAATACTGTCCTTAGCTACAACTAAGGTTTCTGTTTTACTAGAGTTCAGCTGGAGACTATTGTCACTAAGCCATATCTTTATTCCGTCTAGGCAGTTAGTGAGAGCAACCAGTCTCTGGGGTTCAGAGGGCTTAAAAGAGCAGTACAGCTGGAGATCATATGCACACAGGTGGTAGGAGACCTCACTGAACTGCTGGATCAGCTTGCCTATGGGGAGCAGGTACATCATAAATAAAATAGGCCCAAGAACAGAGCCTTGGGGTACACCCCACTGTAGGTCTGCGGATTCAGACACCACGTTGTTTGAGGACACACAGAATGTTCAACCTCTCAGGTATGATCTAAACCACTCTAGCACTGAGCCTGACATACCAACCACATCCCGTAGTCTAGATGCCAAGAGACCAAGATGCCATGGTTCACCGTGTCGAAGGCAGACGACAGGTCGTACAGGACCAGGACAGAACATTTACCGGAGTCGGCAGCCATCATGATGTTACTAGACACTTCCAGTAAAGCAGTTTCAGTGGCGTGGAACTTCCTGGAACCAGACTGAAAGGTGTCAAAAATATCGTCTCCAAGAACGCCTCCAAGAACGCTGTAAATGGATTGTAGGCTAGCTTCTCCAGGACTTTGGCCAAGAGCGGGATCTTTGATATGGGCCTAAAGTTCTAAAGATCTGTTGGGTCCAAGCTGGGTTTCTTTAATTGGGGCTCCACAACAGCATGTTTAAGAGAACACGGGAACACACCAGTTGAGAGCGACATGTTAAACATTTTAGTAATTGACGGACCGACACTAAAACATTAACAAAAAGCCGAGCCGGGACAACATCCAGTCGACAACACAACACTTTCATGCACTTTATAGTGGATAAAATATCCTCTTGAGTGACTGACTCGAAGGATGACCAGCTCTGAGGAGGAGGCTCAATGTGAGCTTGACTGGAGGAAGGAGAGGAAGGAATATTGTCTTTAATCTCTCTAACCTTGTCAATAAAGAAGTTCAGAGAGCAGTCTGTTCCTCTGTCTGTGAGCCCGCCTCCCCCCACCCGCACGGTGACGTAGCCTCACGCTGCGAGTTGTTTATCACCGGTACATAGTCATTTCAGACCTGAGAATAACCTTTTCCAACAATGACAATCCGTATCATCGAGCCCTATGTCCTCGATGCACAGCCAGACCCTAATTATTTAGTTTACAGAAGAATACCGCGAGTTAGCATCACTATACTTACAGATCGGGGGGTTCGTGTGTTAGCGTCTTTTATCATAGGAATAACACTGCTTTCCAGATCAGTTTTAGAGTAAGTCCAGTTCCATTGTCCCTGTAGTTCTGGAACAGTATTAGTGAAGTGTCGCAGATGAATAGATTCATTCAAACAGAGGCAGATCCACGTGAAAAAAGTCGAGCCGCTTTCTTCCTCTTCGGGCCAAATAGTGTGTCACATATTTACACCCAAAACACATTTTATCCAAGTTGACGTGATCCTAACACTTTTAGTTGCTGACAAAAGCAGAAAAACAGTAGCTCCATGTGGTGTCTGCGGGACCAAACCACAGACATACGCTGTGCGCTCTGATTCGCTGTTTCAATCTGTCAATCACCTCCCAGCTTTAGCAAACGGACTTATACGCGTCATATTCGTCATCAGAGTGGTAATCGTCACAGATGTGGACCCGGGCGTTTCACTGCCTCTCGAGGGTGAAGGAGACGGATCGCTCTCTAACTAAAGATTGACAGAATCAATTAAAAAAACTACTCTGGGCATGTGTATGAAGGCCAAATAGCACTGTAATCAGGTTTAAAACAGAGATAAGTCAAAAAGCGTAGTATGGGCCCTTTAACAAGTAGTTGTGTACAGCAAAGACATCAGTATGTTTGTATCATGGTAATCATATGTATGTAAATTATTATTGTTAATATTATTATTATTTAATGGTTTGGAGATTAAGCAGGTCTACAAGTCTTCTGCTCCTTCCTCCTCTGTTATTTCACACTCAGTGTACTCTTGAGCTGCTCTCTGTACCATATGTTCGACAATGAAGACACAAGCAATTGATCACTCCTGGGCATTCTGCTGCAAAGGTTGTAGCTGGACTTTGAGGTAGAGAGGGTGAACCGAAGAGAGACGGGCTAACTAGACAGGATCCCCTGAACACAACATAAGTTCAATGAGGGCTAAACTCTTGCTATTTGTGCTGTGTCCCAGGAGGCAGAGGCAGGGCGCTCTGAGTGTGGTGACAGCAGTGGAGTAGTATGTAGACAAAGAGGAGGAGATGTAGCCCGGAGAGGGAGCGACAGCTGCGGAGGAAGAAGGGAGGAGAGCTCCGGATCATCCGCCGTGCCGGAGTGAGCATGTCCCCCCTCAGCCTTCCTCCGCCTTAGCACCAGCCCTTTGTACTGTGTCCAGATCAAACAACTCAATTATTTATCCTCACCAAGAACTGGGCACTTCCCAAGCAAATTGTAAATAAACAAGCGGGACTCCTTCGGTGTGGAGCGGGGAGTTTGGCACGAGACAAGGCCTCAGTGCAATGCTGTGCCATCTATTTACACACTAGTTACAAGACACCACAGGCTTAAGAACAACTAGTGTCTTTCAGCTGGTCCCTCCTGGGGTCTGTAAAACAAATCATCTGGCACTTACTTGACTCCAATTAACATATTTGTTTGGCTTGCATACCTTTCTCAACCTCCGCAAATTCACCAGGGTCTGGGAATGACACAAAAGTATATGTGTAGCTCATTCAAAAGTAGAAAGAGATTTTTGTATGTGGTCAGTGTGCTTTGATACTTTCTTCTGAAGGCGTGATGCTTCCCAACTCTTAGTAGTAATCCTGTTCTTTTTAAGCCCACTTTCAAGTTGGCCAGGCTCAAAGGTTAGAATAAATTGTACCTTCCAGCAACTCACCCCCTCCAGATGCCCGCTGAGATCACAGGCTGCTGTTTTTGTCTTTGCATTAAAATTCACCCTACATTTTGAGATTTTTCTGTCTACAGTACCTTGAATATGGATATACTGTATGGATGGAAAGGCTTTTAGAATATTACATCCATTATTTTGAACACTTTTTATTATTTCTTTTGGATTGTTAAAGAAAAATAAGAGCTGCTGTTGTATCACCTTCTTTACTCAACTATTCATATGCAGCCAGTGCCTGCACTCCCTGTATGCCTCCTTCTGGCCATCTATAACAACTTTATGGCCTTTGGAGAATAGCACCTCTTAAATTTAAGTGCTCTTTACAGTCAGTGGAAAAGATGTTTTAAATACAGTCAATAATGTGTAAATTTTTAATGACCCTTATAATTTTGAATGCTGCAGTGATTCCTCTCAAATGTTACATTGCCTGAGGCAGCAGGGGCTTGTTAGAGTTGTGTACAGAAAGTAAAACCACAAATCTGTTTTCTAAGCAGTACAAAGCTGTAGTGAGAGTGTGCTGTTGCATCATTATGAGTAGCACATGCAGACAATGTTTTTTGGGGCTGAAGTGCCGTACTTTGGCGCTGTTGTTAACTGTTTTTTAAGCTGATGCTAAATATAATGGCAGAAACGTGATACAAATAAATAATGTACTGCTATTTACCTGTTTACTCTGTATTGTGTTGGAACCAGGAATATACGATGTTGTCCTGTAACTTCTGCGGTAGCCCCGTGTATTTTTATCCAGTTTGTCTTGCACATTTGAGCCGGTGACGCGGCTGTGTTTTGATTCATAGCCACAGCTTGATGTCAACCACTTTAGCTTGTTCTCTGTCAGACCATATCTCCAGAGCCCGACTTTATAATGTGAAAAAGCCACACCATCCGGTCAGCCTTTTAATGTGTCCAGTAAAGTATCCCCCTCCTCTATTCTCCTGGCCAACACTGCCATTTGTCCTCCTGATAAAACTGTCATGGCAGAGGCTGATATCTGACCTCTGCACTGACTCCTAGCATAAATTAGCCTTGTTCTAATATTGCAATTACTTTAGCTTGACTCCGAATCAAGGTTTTTGACATTTCTCTTAGAATAATAGGCTATTGTACACACTGGCACTTTTTAAATCAAATTGTACGGCGATAAAAATGTCAAGGCCAAGGGCTTTTTTTAGATTCTTTCTTTACACAGGAAGCCTAGAGAGTCATCAGTGTCAGAAGTGGCATGCATATCAATACGCTCTGGCTGGCGCTGTCATATGCCTTTGACACTCTGCATATTGCTATAACTCTGCAGGAGTATTGTATCGGCTTTCATTGCTGGCTGGTTAACCAAGACTTCCCAGTGCAGAGGGTTCTTGGAGAGAAGAAGACTGTCAGTGTGGCACCATCTGAAGTTTGGGGTAACAATCATTTCCTACACCATCTCACTCATTACTTTGTTGTGTTGAGGAAAGTTACGGAAAGTGCTCAGATCAAGGGGACAGAGGGAGAGTGGTGCCAGGAATGATGGAGTGATCAGTGGAGATCTGAAAGGCCCCGGACAAAGAGCTTTCAGTGATTTGCCATAAAATCCTGAGAGATTCTTTCTTCTGCACCTGACACAGAGCTTAAAGGAAGATAATGATGGCTCAGGCAGCAGCTCCACAAAGCCGCACTGTCGTCACATAGAGAAAGTGTAGAGATGTTGTCACAGTGTCAAAACAAGAGCTCCTTCCAGCGCTCGGGATCGCACTAATATTACTCTCATTCTCATCTTACCTCTGCAGAGTGTTCCTCGGCTGCTCCCGTGTCTCTTGCATGGCTCCTTGTCTGGCTCCTACACAATCTTCTCCAGTGTTTCTTTTCACTTTCTTCTGCAATATCTCCTCCTGTGTCTCCTTCATTGTCACCTCCTGCATTCCTCCCACCGGCTACTTCCACTTCTCCTCTTCTGCGTCCTTTTTTCCTTAACTCTTTAACTGTGTTGACCCACACCATAAATTAAAGAAATAATCCATGCGCTTTCTTAATTCTTTATATTTATATTTCAGATATTTTTATTTACTTGATGATCTTGTATTTTGCTTTTATCAGGGTATGTCTGGCTCATTTTAACTTGTAATTATTCATTCAAGCCTTATTGCCTCTGGGGTTTATCCCATCAGCAAATTATAATCTTACTTGAATCTTAAAATATCCAGCCAATGTACATGAGCATGATATGGTAAACCACAATAACGTATAGTTTAAACGTTGTCAAAACAACTCAAATTTGGGTTAGTCGAAACTACTATCTCCGTTCTGCCTAAGCCTGAGAGATTTCTCAAAGCCTCAGAAATGTGTTTTCAATGCGTCCCTTGGAACAGGTCTCTGGGAAGACCAAGACATGAAGGGACTATTTCCCTATAGTGTTGGTTGTTAATACGCAGTCACACCCTTTTGTCAGATCCAGAGAAGATTCCTCCAGAGAAGTATCTCCAGCTAGATCTGGATCGTGCGCCTGTTTGTACAGAGGCACATATTCCCCAGGTAGGACTGCCTGTGGCGCCAATGGATCGCCTAATGTGTAACAGCGCCATGCGCTCTCCCATGTGTCTTTATTCCACTATTCCTTATTTACAGAGGATTTGCATAAGGTGATAGAGGGCAATGAATAAAGCGGAAGAAAATGGATGGATAAAAAAACTAAAAAATCCTTTGATAAAGACGCTAGTTTTCATAATTCATTTTTGGCCAAACTGCCCAGGAATTGTTCTTTGAGAACACCCCAAGGTTTCAAGGAAACCAAAACGTTTGTGGTTAACAAACGTTTTGTCCAAGTGAGGCCTCGGTCTCCCCAGCTGTTTGTCCCCTCCTCTTATGTCACCTCCTCATGTTTCCTTACGGCCCACTCTGTTTCCCTCTGCCCCACTCACTGCTGTCTCCTCAGCTTCTCCTGCTCCTCTTTGTCCTCCATCTCTCAGTCTCCTCAGTTTGTGTCCGCACCTGTTCACTATCTTCTCTCCTGTCTCCTTCTTTGCTTTCTCTTTTCTCTCCTTCAATCTGTCCTCAGCGTCTCCTTTCCTATCTCCTACCCACACTTTCTCAGCTGTCCCCTTCTCTGTACCCATCCATATCTTCCCTCACCGTCTCTTCCATATCTTTCCCACGGTCTCCTCCCATGTCTCCTTTCCTTGTCTCCTCCATGTGTCTCCTTCATTGTAACTTCCCACTTCCCATGTAAATAACGCCACAAACAAAGTGTTTTCATGTTGATAACCAACCCTCTCTGTCTCTCTTTGTTTTGCCGATCATATCATTTGAAGTTTGGCACAATTCACTGCAACATAAGATGCCATTTCTGCCATGTAATTGCGTAAATCTTTAGCGTTCCCAGTTTGACCGTAATTTGATGAGGACCTGCTTCTACACACTAATTGAATATTCAAATTTTAAAAAATATGTCAGCATGGCTCTGACTGAAATGAGGATTAATTGTTGTCAAAACTCCAGTGGCCAACGTAATATGGGCCCAACACTGCTGTTGATTAGTACAGCTCTTGCCATGGATTTGTTTTAAGAATTACTTATAATTGATTTACCATATGCTCGCCTCTCTGAGCACCTGAGATTGTATTTAGTAATCCCAATTTTGACTGAGATAGTTTTATGTTTCAAACAGATGGGAGAGGAGCTCTGGAGGTTGTCAGCTAAAATATATCTCTAGGGACATGTTGCTAAGTTTAGAGGTTATTTGACATCACAAGTAAACAAACAATTCAGAAAAATATCAAGCCAATCTCGCCTTTTGTATCAGCCCTTGGAATATTGACACATGCTTTGAAAGATGCCCGCCTTCTTCTGCGGTAGAACTCAACCTTTGCGAGGTACAAAAAAAAGTCACTATTGAAGATGGCAAGCGTCCCCACAAGATTGATGTCAACCTTTTAAAAATTCACCATTGGCCTAGGCTGAACATGGCCGAATGCTCATGTAAATGAGGAGGAGAAAAGTCCACCCTTTCCCTGCAAATAAATCTGAGTTGCAAAGCTTCAGCTCATAAATACCACGGCCTGTCACTAGTCTTGTTTTATTGCTCTTGATGGAAATTATTGCATTTATTTATCTCATCCAGAGCGATGAAGCCTTGAAAGCCGCAATTCACAAAACATCCCCCACAGAATGCCATCCTAAATTCTACATTACACTTAAATTAACTATATTGCCCATAAACAAAAGCAGAAAACATTTGTGCACAAATCACTTTTTGTGCACCGTAACACTTGTTCTGTCCTTGTCTGTTCATTGGTCGATTTTACCTCAACTCGAACTCTTATGCACGGTGCATCCTCAAGTAATTCCGCTTTTAATGCTAGAGCCAACTACTTTGCATTATCATTATAGGACCATTTGTTTTATAATGCAATCCGGGAGCTCATTTTACCTTCAAAGCATATATCACAATGCTGCTCTGGTGAAGCTGTGATTTTTTTTTCCTGCTTGCTGTGGATTTATCGATCCGTAGGGGTGAGTCACAGGGTGTAATTCATGATAGCTTGATTGATGAGGATTTCAATCTTATATGGTTTGTTAACTTCGAGTGTGTGCAAAGTGCATTCAGTGCTGTTTTCTGTAATACAAGGCCATGAAACGGCAAAGCAGACTTCCCATGTATAAAATAAACATAACTTTGTTTTTCCACATAAACAATCTTTTTGATTGAAAGATTTTAGATTTATTTATAAATCATATAAGAAATATCAACTTATTTTCAATCAGAAAACCCACCAATCGGCAAACTTTGTGAGAATATTTGAGGATGAAATTCAGTAAATGACATTAAATTAAATTACAACTCCATTAAATCACAAAGTTGTATTTATGTGTGGCGTTTTTTGATGGCAGGAAAAGCACAGGCAGACCAGACTGTGAGCGGCAAAGCAGTGGAAGTTACACCAAGACTGGTAAGCCTTTACACACACGCGCGCACACACACACACACACACACACACACACACACACAGCTCTATAACTTGTAAAGATGTTCTTGCAGTAATAGTCAATCACACTTTTATAACTTATACAATTGTAACAAGTGGTGCAAAATCATTTTAATGTACTGCTAACAAACAACATATGATTTACGGCGGTGAACTTATGGAAAAGTCATTTTGATTTCATAACTAAAGGCTCTGCTAAACATCTTTTTATTATTGTTATTATTTATAGATACAACACAATTAAGGTACAATACATTCGAATACTGACTCAAACTCAACTGTAAAATTAATTTCTGTTCCATTTCAGTTTATTTTCAGTTGTTATGATTATCTTATGACATTTTAAAAGGTGTATTTCTTTGGAAGTACCTGTGTACAGGCTCTAGGGTTGATCTACACCTGCTCCAGAGCCGTGCTTATCGGTACGTGACTTCCCCAAAGAGCCGCGCATTACCTCAAGAGAACATTTAACAGCTGTCACCCATGATCCATCAAGTCCAGCGCATATGCACGCCACACACCGCGCACTGGACCCAGCCTTTGTACAGTCAAAGGGCGGCTTCACTCCTGCCATTCACTCAAAGACTCAAATCGTTTGGTTCATTTGGAAAACGCAGGACCTCACAATCCTAATCACATGTTGTGCCCTCGTCATGATAAATGCATGAACAAAATATCAAAGTAGAAATCGGAATACACAGAAAAAGATAAGATGAGAGAACTTTTATTCAACCCACACATTTCAATGTTGGTGTATGCATTACAGAACAGTGGGAATACAAAGACCACTCAAACGAGGTAATAATAATATTACAAGATTTAAATACATTTAGATTAATAAACTTAATCTACGTCCGTAAAAATCATAGAACCGTAGTTTTAGTTACAAAACAATATCTGGCACAAAAATAATAAAAAAAGATTGAATCCAGTCTCAATAAGTAGAATTTCCCCAACACCCATCGGGTTGTCAAACTTTACTTAAATTGTTACGCACACTCTTTTCTGCTTTTTGTCATTTATTACATTCATAAAATACACACTTTTTGTATTATATGCGTAGACTTTTCATCAAACATAACGTATACGTGCGGCCATGGCAGCCTCAGCCCATTGTGAGTGGACTGGTGTGTGAGGCGCACACAAAGCCCGCGTAGACGGCTGGAGAGAGACCCCATGTGGTGAACATTCATCCTGCGCCATATGCACTCACACAATCAAATTCTGGAAATCTTTATTGAAAGCTTGAGGGGTAAAAACATTCACCTATTTGCTTTATATTTTTTTATAGGGGTTTTAAGATGATTAATACATTATGGGATGGTCTTGACACCCGTTTCATAACTTTGCCAAGTGTGGCCCTGAAGGAGCGGGCATTAACACACAGCCGAATGGTCCGTGACATTTGGTGTGAGATTCCTCCACCGGGACGTCCTGTGACTGACAGCGGCGAAGAAGCTCACACTGTACCTCCCTCCGCACACCCCCCCCCCCCCCCCATCACTTACCCACATCGCTCCTGTTTTTTTTTTTTTTCTTCTCCTTTTTCTACAGCACCATAATAGAGTTTGAATATGAGCTGAGGATTTATTGTTACCGACGCACGCGGCATCACACGGAGAATGTGCGAGAACACCACTTGCCTTTATTAAGACTGTGATAGCGCGCAGATCGAGTGCGAGGTCGTAGCTGACAGCCTATTTGTGCTAATTGTTGGCGGTAGCTGTATCTGTGTGTGTGTGTGTGTGTGTGTGTGTGTGTGTGTGTGTGTGTGTATGTCTGTGTGTGTTGATCTCAGGAAGACAGCTGGCCAGGTTGGAGTTGCGCTATAACCATGTGCACTCTGTCAGGCTAGTACAGGCGCCTTCTTTAGGATTGATGAATTGCCTGCTTTCTTGATTAAACCCTCCGTCACTTTTCTCCAACAAAACAAAAAAGAAAAAAAAATCCCAGGTAGTTGAAGGGGAGGAGAGGTAACATGTTTGTGAAATCTGTCATAGACGCTGACACGGTGTACACGCGTGATCCGCTGGCACTTTGACATTTATTAGCCCAATATTAAAAACTAATTCGCATCTATTTCGGAAGGCCTTCTTTCGTTTGACAGTTGGGGTTCATTTGTAAAGTTAGCGAGCTTTCATTGTGCTGCTAACCTTTTTTTACATTGCTTTGATCCGTGCCAGGGCCATTTGCCAATTAGGTCTTTCAGGCAAAAACAAAAAAGCGAGTGGAATTTTGAGTGTGATGATCGACTTTATTTGATAATAAAAAAAAAAAAATGAAATTACAAAAGAATATCTACTCTTCGCAACAACATGTCAAGCCATCTGGGTTCATTATTGCGGCAGTAGAATGTATAGAATTCTGCAGGCATCCAGGAGGAGATATAGAAAGTAAACGTGATAAAAGTAATGCGTTTACATATCTATCACATTAATCAAAAATAAATCCTGACATTGGCCTTGATCTAACGTAATATGGAGAGCAATTATTTCCCAATCCATTAGGGTGAACTTCAATTAACAGGCACCAGACAGTCCATCCTTCAGAGGACAGAAAATAGAAGGCACAAAATTAACTCTGGGTTTGCAAAATATCTTGGCAGGGATGACAGTGATTTTTGATTTTTCCGGAAACAATATTAGAATTCTTATTAAACTATGTGCATCTGCTATTAATTTGCCGCAAATAATTGGGAGAATGCAACGGAGCCTTCCAATTAAAGCCTCCACTTTGTGCTGTTTAATAATACCCTCATAATATTATAGCTTACGGAATGACAGGTGAGGTGGTGTATGAATAAAACATAAAGCCGCAGTAATAAGAGATGGGGGGGGAATCGAGACAGTTGTTGGGGGGCTTTTAAATGCTCGACATCATTTGCATATATTAATCTCCTCTTTTCAGCCTTATCAAGTATTCCACTGTATTTGAAGTTAAAATAGTCGTGACAGGCTGAGGGTATGCTTCGTTTTTCCAAGGATTTATTACTTGTATAATTCCAGGATCTTTAATAAGCCAATATGACTGATCCTCGGAGTTCCGTGGAATTTGGTTAATTGTTCCAGATGGTGCCCACTGATTATGCAGAATTACTTTTTCTTTCTCCATTTCCCCTTTTACTACAATTTCTTGATTGACTAACATTGAGAAAAAAGATTATTTTTGGCGCCGCACTTTCATTAAGAGGGTTTTCGTCAGGTTTCAAACAAAAGTTCAATCTTATCTGCAAATGTAGTAGGCGAGGCTACAGTGTGCGCATGGACAGAGCAGGCGGGCTCTCTCTTATCTCCAGCAATGATGGATCTGAAGCGATTCTGCACCACTGGGGTTATATTTTAGAATAACACAATTCTTTAGTCTGAGGGATTAAAAAGTACGACCTCTGGATGGTGACACAAAAGTTATTATCACTGCGTTTTCTACAGGAGATCGATGGATATACAAAACGGCACCATTGCTCTGCAGCTAGTGGTCTCTGTATGTGCAACTCTTTCTGTTTTGCATCAGCTAAAGTCGACTGAATGAATCATTTATGGGAGTGTTATGGGGGAGGTACGGGCAGATTTACAGCCCCAGCTTTTACTTGAGATGGAGCGGGGATCTCTATCAAACCCATGTCTGAAGTAATGCCAAAGCTTACATCAAGACATGAAAGGAGCCCTCTTAAAACCCGCATTTAAACTCTTAATGCCTCTGGTCAGCAAAAGGGAGAAACAAGGAGAGAGAGTGCAGCCGCGGTGCAGTGTTTACTGGCATTTTCTGATTAAATTAACTGCACAGTTAAAAATTAATTTAAAAAAAACCTTTTTGGTTAATTAGATTATTCTAATAAATTGTTTTTCAGTCACAATTTTATTTTAATTTGGATTACATCATTGTTGCACTCATTGTTGTCTTTACTTTTCTGAAGTAGCTTGTCAGAAAAGAAAATGGATTCTAAAGATTTTTTTTTCCTTGTCTATTTTGTTTTTCCGTTGCAGATTTATTCCAGATGCCCTTCCAGATGCAGGCCATTTATTTGGGCTTGGTTTGGCAACAGCCTTGTGACTGCCTTGGCGTGCAGTGCTCTTGAATTGTACATAATCTTATTGGTTTGCATCAGTCAAAGGCTAAAATCCGGTTTTGTTTCAATATATTACTATTGCTTCATTATTGTGAGATGTCTCTAATGCAGGACCCCAGTTTGATTTGTCCATTAAAATCCAAGAGAATCAATCCTCCATGAATCCTAATGGGATCCAGGAGCCTTATAGGGCCCCAGGCATTTTGGCCCTTTATAACAGTCAAATAAGCGACTTCAAATGGCTTTACATTTGCAGGCTGGACTGGACTCTGGAGTCTCATCCCTCATTGCGTTCTATCCATCCCTGAGATAGCAGCGTTGCCCCATTAGTTTAAATGTCCAGACGCAGGACAACCTCAATGGATGGGCCTGTCACTATCCCCTCATTTGCGCCATGTACAGCAGGGTTTGTTATCACACCATCTAATTAGAACTTGATAAAAAATATTTCGTAAAAATCCAGTCATTAAATCTAGTTTAAGGAGATTTATGGTCAAATGTGCCGAAAAGATCTTTTAATGGTTCTGCTGACTTGTTAAGTTTGTAATTAATGATCTTCTAATGCATAGTGTGGTGTGATGTGGAAAGCACAATGAGAATCTGGAAATGAAGTCGTTTTGGAAAGGGCATCAGGGGCTCTATATTAAATAGTTCTGTTCATATGGGTTTGCTCAGAGCCACAAAGTCTGTAGTGAGAAAGTTCAACCCCATCAGCCTCTTTACATTTGTGCATGCACACTGCATGATTAAAAAACACACCCTTTGTCACCCCTTTACACTCAATTACTGGACTATGTACCAAGGCTCCTCCAAAGGGCATTTGGACAAAGCAGAGCAACACAATTTCATTTTTATAATGGAATACAAATTGCACAGAAATATTTTTCAACCAAATGCA